AATTTATGCTGTAAGATTCATTCGAAGCTAGTGATCAACGGTCAACGCAAACATCAAGGGATCCGATTACGGAGAAACACAAATTGTAATTTTATCATTTCGTTTATCATTTCGATTAAGAATATTGTAATAATAATGTATCCCTAAATTATTTAATTTCAGTTGACTACGACGTAACGATTACGATTACCATGGATGTAAAGAACCGTACCTTACATTAGTACAAATAAAATCTGACATCAATGATCCCTGGCCTAGTCTTCAAAATAAGTAGCCCTTCAATCATAGGAGCGAATCATATTTAATTTTCCTTTTCATCTTCCTGTGTGTTGTTTAGGAACGTTCTTGGTTATTTCATTTTATTGTAATAGGAAAAAAACTCAATATAAAAGAAATCTCAACACTTGAAGTGTTCACTTAAATTTATTCACAGCAGAAAGTAAGACCTACCAAGCATATTCATCGCTGCTTTGCTGGTGCAGTGTCAACTTCGCAATCCTCCTTCAGCTCTTTAGATAAATGTTTTCGACCAGTTTCGGTAAGAGTCCTTCCATCCAAACGTTTTCCTATCTGCTTTTGCGAAGTGAACTTTCTATTTTTCTTTCTTAAAGCATCACTTTCATTGGAAACAGTAGAGATCGTGGCGGCCATGATTGTCTACAACTCGCCCGCGAATGCGAACGCGCGCGCTATCGCCTAATTCTCACACGAGTAGTTTGCTTGCGTGTATCTTCGAATCCATTCTCCGCTCGGTCAAAAAAACCCTTTCGAGCTTCCTTAAAGTTACAGATAATTAAAACCATCCATGGGATGCTTTGAATGAGATGAAAAGATTTACCCATCTTGTCCGCTTCGATAGCCAATTTAACACAGGCTTAAAGCCATTCATCTTAATCATTCGCTAGCCATGTAATTGAAGATATATTTCATCCAAATAACGGACCTCACTTTAACATCGAATTTCAATTGACACTTTGCCAATCATTGAATTCTTAATCATTCCATCATATATATTGTTTCACAAGAATGAAACGATAAAAGGGTTAAATAAATCAATCAAATGATTAAACGGAAGAATAATTTCATATCATAACGAGCTTCCCCTCTACCGTTCATATTGCGAATATTTTCAAATGGCGCATGACAGGCGGAATACAATCACTTAGGATGAATATGACTGTGCCAACCACTCCAAGAAGTAGAAGAGAAAAAAAAAGATACACAAAATCAATAATAAAAGTAACATGTACAAATCATCTAAAGAATTGACCTGAGTTTGACTTGGAATTTTTACTAACACTATGCCAAAATCAAAGTAAAGAAAGTTGTCACTTACATCCTAATGTGTCCATGAAATACATGGTGGAACGGGAATGTGAAAAGGAAGAATGAACAGATTAAAAAAGAACAAACTAAAACAGAATCCCTACTAATGTATTCCAATTACGAGGAAAAGGGGAAGTGAAATCTTCTTAGATGAATTTGACTATGCCACCCATCCGAAAAATAAAAAGAGAAAAATGACTGTACGTTGAGATATTCAAATCAACAATAGCAGTAAGATAAACAAGTATTCAAAGACTGGAACTCAACTCGACTTCGAATGTATTCTGACACTATGTCAAATACATGGTTGTAAAGGAATGAAAAACAAACAAACAAAGAAACTACAGCAGAATTCACTCTGATAAATATATTCTAATTACGAGGAAAAGGGAGAAAATCGTCGTGGGTGCTGAGACCGTACACTTTACTTCGAGAGAAAAAAAAAAGGTGGCGAGCCGTCGAGTTTAGCTAACTTTCCATCCACGCAACCAAACAAAAAAAAACAAACAAAACAAAAAAGACACGGCATTTATTAGAACTCATTGAAACAATTATGAATATGACTAAGGTGGTAACGAAATGATCTTTGTGAATAACACAAGACTACCTCACGCAAATCACTAAAAAATATCCCAAGCCTCTCGTGACCACAGACGAACGGGAAAGGCTGAAATGCATTTCAGTCAAACAAATATTGATGACTGACTTCAGTTCGTAGAAGGAATTAAGGTAAGGATCAACCAAAACATCTCTACGCCCCAAACCTGTCCTTCTCCCACAACATGTATGGAGACAGTCTCTGCTGGTTATAGGACAATGCGTGTGGCTGGGCTTCTCAAACTAAAAATTAGGTAAAAAGGAGAGATACTGCATCTACTTACGTTCTGTAGTCCAACGCAGATTTCAAGGAAAGAAAAAGATTAAAGCAAATATGTTAGCGACGCTAAGTTTAGCTTACGATTATTTTTCATATTATTGCTTTCATATAAGGAGAGAAAGTTTCTTTTTAAACTAGATGCATAGCATAA